ACTGGGTAAAGCTAACCGTGATTTAGCTGAAGCTTATGTTGCCGTTTTGAACTTCAAGGAGGCACTGCCTTTTTGTATGAAGGCATTGGAGATACATAAGAAGCAACTGGGGAATAATTCTGTGGAGGTTGCACATGATAGGAGAATCCTTGGAGTTATATACAGTGGGTTGGAGGAGCATGAGAAGGCACTCGAGCAGAATACTTTGTCCAAGAAGATTTTGACGAATTGGAATCTTAACTCTGATTTGCTGCGTGCTGAAATAGACGCAGCAAATATGCTGATTGCTCTGGGAAGATATGATGAGGCTACTGGTACTTTGAGGAGTATTGTGCAGCAGACAGACGCAGATAGTGAGACTCGGGCACTTGTACTTATATCAATGGCAAAAGCCTTATGTAATCAGGACAAGTTTGCCGACTCCAAAAGGTGTTTGGAGATTGCTTGTGGGATTCTTGACAAAAGAGAATCGATCTGCCCTGTGGAAGTAGCTGAGGCATACTCAGAGATTTCAATGCAGTATGAAGCCATGAATGAGTTTGAAACTGCAATCTCACTGTTGAAGAGGTCACTGGCTTTGCTTGAGAAGCTTCCACAAGAGCAGCATTCAGAGGGAAGCATTTCTGCAAGAATAGGGTGGTTACTCTTGCTGACAGGTAAGGTGCAGCAGGCTATTCCTTACTTGGAAAGTGCTGCCGAAACATTGAAAGATAGCTTTGGTCCCAAGCATTTTGGAGTGGGTTATATATACAACAATTTGGGAGCGGCATATTTAGAGTTGGCAAGACCCCAGTCAGCGGCACAAATGTTTGCAGTAGCTAAGGACATCATGGATGTTTCTCTTGGTCCACATCATGCAGATACAATTGAAGCCTGTCAGAATCTTTCGAAAGCTTATGGTGAAATGGGAAGGTATGAATACCTTTTTTGATTTCATTTCATTTCGTTGTATTGATTGTGTGTGTGTGTGTGGGGTAACAGGGTCGCTAGCCTAAGGAAAGAATTAACTTTTTTATCACCAGTATTGTAATTGTAATTTACTTGGGCCTATTTAAGTCTAACCACTTAAATGGTGAGCAATGGATATCCAAGATCTATAAATCTGCACCAAAATGCCCATCCAATCCTCATTAAATTTCGTGGATCGAGTGGGCAGGATCTGATCTAATTCTTAATGCACAAATCATGGATGTCCAATGGATTCATCCACTTTGGCCCACCCTAGTGTGTATATTTAGATGCGTGCACATGCATATGCAAAAGTGCAAATTTATACAAATATCTACACGTATACGCACAAGGAATTATGTTCAGAACCAAACCTAAATTTATAAACATTCGGATGTTTGAAGTTCAGATCCTTAACTGTGTGCCGTAATTGGCTGCCAGAGTTAACCCAAGGTTTTAGTGGTCCATGTTCTATCCAGTTGCTAATGTATTCTAATTGTAAAACTGTGTTTTTAATGTTGTATCTTCTTGTGCTTTTAAGTTAGAACTTATATCCTGTATGATGCCGTTGCAATTTATTGAACATGCGAGATGGAATTAGATGTCGCAAATTCATTAATTATGGAAAATCTTGATTTATTGCCTCCATCTGCATATATATGTTCGGCATTTCTGTTGGTAAATGCAAAAGATATTGAACTCATGAAAGATTGACATTTTATATGATTTATTTTTCTTCTAATTAAGCCTTAGCATCCAAACCAATACTGTGAATTAGGAAAAAGGAAATTGTTAGTTTATGGCCGTTATGTCATTCAAGTGTATGGTAGATTTCCTTGGTCTTGATTCGTTTGTAAGTTCCATAATTTTTCATGCATTTTTTTTTTTAAAAAAAAAATTCTTGGAAACGTGCATGCTCCAAAGTCCAAACAAAGGTTGCTTCTAGACTTCTAGTTCACGGAAATGTATTTGTTATCCTGGTTGTATTAGGTGCTGTACTTTTTATGCTTCTTGGCCTGTTAGATTTTCTCTTTGCATCTTTATTCACATCATTGATTATGAAATGGTTCTTATTTTGAAGCAAAGTAAGATTTATGAGGAAGGTGTTTATACTGTGGTAGAGGAGTTAGTTACTGCGATGTCCTCTAACTGGGTGGATGAACACCAATTCCTCTTAGATATGCTAGCATGTTTTTGTTGCCTGAATTATGTTATATATTTTTTGCCAACACCTGAATTATGTATGTTATATAGTTGTTAGATTTTGATCTTTATCTTGGGAAAATGTGCAAATATGTGATGTTATTTGTCATGGAAACTGATGAAAATAGAATTAAAGATATACACTCTATCTTGGAAGTGCAGCTATGGCCTTGCAATAGAATTTCAACAGCAAGCTATAGATGCTTGGGAAAGCCATGGAGCAGGTGCTGCTGATGAACTCAGAGAAGCCCGCCGACTTCTGGAGCAATTGAAGCAAAAAGCCAGTAGTGCTGCTTCTGCAAACGAGTTTCCCGCAAAGGCTCTGCCCTTACCTGATACACTTCAACCACCTACCGTCTCCCAACCCAACATCTCACTTCAATCCAGCGGCAGAGCTTAATAGTCTTTCCCTTTCTAATCATACGATATACTGTGTACGGGTCTTTGGTTGCTAGTTTCGAGTTTTGCTCACTTAGAAATTTTTTTTTTCTTCCAAGAAATTACAGAATAGAGTTTGGGAATGTCATCATAATTAAGAATTTGTTTTCTTTCACATTCAGAATTGAAGCTTTTGTTAAACATAGTCAATTTTCTCTTCATAAGTTCATATAATTTATCTGTTTGTTCCCCGAGCTTATAGAAGCAATGCAAGCCGGCACCTGAGTAAGTGATCAGCCGAAGAGATACTTTATGCTGCGTACCATTTACTAGTGGCATTACCCTTTGATCTTGATATGTGTTGTCTTTAAACCAGTTCTTTTGTGGCGTTGTCTTTTCTACTGGACCTGTGCTTAAGAATGAGGATATTTCTTGCATGTTTTCTTTCAGTCATAATTATAATAGCTTCCGTAGGAATTGGGACTTCATTGATGTCTAATTACTTGTTATCGAGAGATGTCACTTTATGGCAATTAAGGATATTAGGGGGTGTTTGGCAATTTCAAAAAAAATGCTTTTCCACCCTAAATCATGGTTTTGGCAAGAAATTTTCCAAACAGGCTGATTTTTCAGAAAATCTTGTTTTGATCCAAAACCATAGTTTCATGAAAAGCAAAAAAAAGTTGTTTTTTGAAAATGTGGTTTTTTTTTCACATTGTAATACTACTTCTAATTTTTAATATAAGAGCTAGGTAACTAATTTGAGTAGATTAAGAAAATTAGTTAAGTTAACTATTTGTAATAAATAGGTGTTTTCTTCTCTAAAATATCTTTTGTAATCATGTGTATTTATTAAAAGTACCATTTGATGAAATATTTAATATGTATAATTACTACAAGGACTACTTTGAAAAAATAGATAAATATAATAAATAAAATGAATTGGAGTTTATATTTAAGACCAAATTGAATATCAAAATAGTTTTTATATTAAAGACCGGAATTAGCCCGGGAGGGTTGGTCCGCCTGGTTGACAAGGGGAAGGCAAGGCGCCACGTACCCGCCAGTGCATGGGCTTGATCCTGGGAAGTCCCGCCTGGGGCGACTCCGGATTTAGTCTGCACCCAAAGGGTGTGGGATGCCGGAGGGAGAAATAAAAAAAAAAAGACCGGAATTAGTATATTGATAAAAAAAAAACTAATTGTGAAAAAAATATTATGGGATTTCATATTTAAAATCTTTAAGGTAAAATAATATTTTTCTGTTGGCAAAAAAAATTATTTTTTAAAAACATATTTACTCTTATATTTTATAAATACATATATGCATACTAATTATTTATTAATTACGTTTTTTATATATTATTTACTGTGTTAGCAAAAAATATATTATTAAAAATTTATTACTTCAAATAAAAATATATTATAAAATCTATCTTTTATGTATTTATCATATTAACTTGTGTCCTTTTTAGTAATTTGTACATATAAAAAATGCTTTTGATAACAATTATCCAAACACTCTTATTTTATCAGAATAACTTTTTTACAAAATCTGTTCTCCAGAAGCTATTTTTCAAACCATAGTTTAATTTTATCCAAACACCCCCTAAGTCGCAACCGATCTAAAAATCCTGTCTATTTTCAAAAGAAAGCTCTAAAGAGAAAACATATGGATTTCATATCTCATTTTCTCATTCAACCCCCCCCAAAAACTTTCTCTAACTACCAAAATAAGAAGAAAAAAAATGTACTCCTCTGATATCAATATAAGACCCATTTAACTAATTTGATTAGATTAAGAAAGTTAGGTAAATTAGTTCATTATAAGAAAAGTGACACATTTTTCCTAAAATATCATAATCATCTTTCTTAATACCTCTTCTCTTTCGCCTACTTGATTATAGTTGAGGGAGTATCATATGAGTAATTTAGAGAAAATTGATAAATATGATAAATAAGTCTTGTATTTAGAATCAAAACCAACTCAAGAATTAGGTCCTATATTAACTATTAAGGACCGGAAGAGTATTGTTTTCTTCTTTTTTCTTTTCTAGTTTTCTCTTTCGTTATTTTTCTCTCACTCCAATCATAGAATAATATTCGGATACGGAATAGGGGTTGAGAAATATCTTTCCATGAATTTTAAAAAAAACGACCGGAGAGAAGAAATGTCTCGTTTGATTAAAAGATGTGACGATTAATGCCTTATAACTGTCAGATTGCGATAGATAATAATTAAAAAAATCCCTCACATCTGAATTGTGATTTGGACTACATAAAATATAGTTTATAGGATCTAGTATATGACAAAAAATTTGGATGCGCCTCATTCTTTTACGAGCCATTCGAACTTAAATTATAAGAATCTGCCGGGTTGACAAAGCATCGATTAATGATGAACATGAACTCGAAGTGCTTTCAACTCACTATTTATGCAGTCTGGTCCATCTAGTTACCAGAATCAACGTGATGGAGAAACTTGTTTCATATTGGTACGATGTCCGACCTGTGCCAGAGGATTACATTTTTCCGCCAGAAACAAGACCCGGGAGCCTCCATGTTCCTATAGGTGAAGTAATTCCAGTGATCGACCTCAGTGAAGCAGAGCATGGTGATCGAACACCTACTATTCGGAAAATTCTCCAAGCTGCTCAAGAGTTTGGATTCTTTCAGGTTCATATTACTTTACTTTTCTTCTATCTTCGTCTAAGCCCAAGGTTTACAAAGTTCGATTACCTGTTATATGACTGTGTGATAAATTGAAAGCAGGTGAAAAATCATGGGGTTTCAGAGAATTTAATGACTGAGGCAATGGGTGTATTCAAAGAAATTTTCCAGAGGTCAAATTTGGCCAAGCAAAAATTGGACTCACAGGATGTTAGCAAGCGTTGCAGGCTTAAAACGTGCACTATAAATTGTACTGCTGATAAGGTTCATCTATGGCGGGACTTTCTGATGCACCCATGTCATCCTCTAGAGCAATGGCAGCATACCTGGCCTCAAAACCCAACTAGATACCAGTAAATGATACAGCCTCCTCAGCTGAAATATAAGTTTTTATATTATATATTTATCGGGTTTAGTCATAACTAATTGATTCTTGTGTGTTGTTAGAGAGTGTGTAGGAGCATGTTCAGTTGAAGTCAAGAAGTTGGCTTCAAGGATTCTGGCATTAATCAGTGAAGGGCTTGGACTAAAATGTGGATATTTTGATGATGAACTACTTAGTGGAAGCATGATGCTCTCAGTTAATCATTTTCCACCATGTCCTCAACCAAGCTTGACTCTGGGTTCATCTAAGCATGCCGACACCAATCTGATTACCATTTTGCTTCAAGACGATGTCTATGGACTTCAAGTCTTGAAAGAAGACAAGTGGATTGGTGTTGAGCCTAATCCTCATGCATTTATAGTCAACATGGGTTGCCTCTTGCAGGTAAGCACATCTGAATTACGGAGTCATGAAACTGCTCTTGGATAGCAAATGAGGTTAATTATCTTGTTGGTGTGCAGGTGATCAGTAACAACAAACTAAAAAGTGCAGAGCACAGAGTTGTGACAAATCCAAGTACTGCTCGAACATCAGCTGCATTTTTTGTAATTGCTTTGGAAGACAGTATCATAGAGCCCGCAAAAGATCTTACGGATGAACTCCATCCTCCAATTTATAAACCGTTCAAAACTAAGGATTTCGTGACCCAATTCCTAGCAAATGACGGTGACTCACAGGCAGCATTAAGATCTGTTTTGGCATAGCATCTGCGCAATGGAAGAACGTTAATGTTGTTTTATGTGTTTGTGCACGCGCGTGCATTTGGAATACGCGTGTCTACATATTATTAGGGGTGAAGTAAGCTCTACTATTTCTAGTCCTGTCGACCAATAAGCTCAAAGTTGTGGTGTGTTATGAATCAGAATGCTGTAAAGTTGAAGCTTTAAAATAGGGGAAATTGTTTGCTCATGAAACGGGGGGAAATTGAACTCAATGTACCAGCAATTTATGTATATAATGGAAATTGTGTTCAATATTGAATGTAGCTTACGTTTTGGTATATAAAGGAAGATGAATGACTAAATGAAGAATAGTACAGTAGTATTGTATATACAACTTCACCGGTTTTCCAAAGGATCTAAAGTAATGATTAACACGAGTTTAACAAAATGTTGGCGCACGAAGAAGATAGTTTCGAAATCACTTGCCATCGGCTTGGATAGCGTCAACTTTTCTTCTCAGCAGAAACCTCAAATTTCTGACAAGTATATTAAAGAGTTTTTTTTTTTGGGGCCTTTTTTCGGCCATCAAGTGTGAGAGAATTGCATTTTCTGCTCATTTATGATAAGTTTGGAAGATAAACTAACTCTACCTTTGGGCTTTCAACGAAAATCATAGCATAAAAACTTAGAATAGTACAAATAGATCAAGCTGGGCAGTTAAAAATCATTAAATCATAGCTAAAATAATCAAGTAGTGTTACTCACATGTTGCCTGCAGATTGAAGCCAGTACTTTGTGATTGTATGATGTAATTTATAGCACAGCGCATTCTTCGAAGCTGAAGTACACGGGACAGCTTATCTTTGTAATTTTATTTTGAAGACGAAGATGCGGCAACAGCGGAAGCATGTGATCAATAAAAATGAAGGACTTACTTTCTAGATTTCATTTCATTTCTTGCTACCGAGAGTCCTACTTTGTTCCATCTTCTCCGCTTTTCGCCCCTTTTTCTGCTCTCATCAAGTTACTGAGAGATCAAAACAATGGAGAAACTTGTTTCAAATTGGTACAATGTGCGGCCTGTGCCGGAGGATTACATATTTCCACCAGAAAAAAGACCAGGAAACGTTCATGTCCCACTTGGTGAAGGCATCCCGGTGATTGATCTCAGCGAAACAGAGAAAGGTGGCCGACCTCTTACCATTCAGAAGATCCTCACGGCTGCTCAAGATTCTGGATTCTTCCAGGTTCAAGCCATAGTTATTAGTTTTCCCTTATTGAGATTTCCTCCGAAGGTTTATTCCTTGTTCCGCTAATGCGCGATAAATCCTGAGCAGGTGATTAATCATGGGGTTTCGGAGAATCTAATGAATGAAACAACAAGTGTGCTGAGGGAGTTTTTCCAGATGCCAAATGAGGCCAAGCAACATGTATACACAGAAGACATGAGCAAGAATTGCATTTTTTCTACCAGCGGTCTGTGTTATGCCAAAGAGAAGGTTCATCTCTGGCGTGACTTCTTGAAACACCCCTGTCATCCTCTAGAAAAGTGGCAGCATTTTTGGCCCCAAAGCCCAACCAGATACCGGTATTCAAACTCACAAACCTTATCTCACATTTGGGTTTAGTCACTTACTCTCAATTGATTTGTTGACAGAGAGATTGTTGGGGCTTGCTCAGTGGAAGTTAAGAAACTGTCTTCAAGGATCCTGGGGTTGATCAGTGAAGGTCTTGGCTTGAAATGTGGATATTTTGACGATGAACTAAGTGGACGTATGCCACTGTGGTCCTTTCTCTATCCACCATGTCCAGAGCCAAGTTTGACTCTAGGAGCATTCGAGCATGTTGACGCTAATCTCATCACCATTGTGCTTCCAGACGAAGTATACGGCCTTCAAGTCCTCAAAGATGACAAGTGGATTGGCGTTGAGCCTATTCCTCATGCATTTGTGGTCAACATAGGCGCCCTCCTACAGGTAATTCATACACTTTGCCTCTACAATGTCTTGTGAATATACCAGATTATGATTATATAGCTATGAATGAATGATTTGGTGTGTGGGAGTGCAGGTGATAAGTAATAATAAGCTAACGAGTGCGAAGCACAGAGTGATCACAAATGAAAGTAGATTTCGAACATCGGCTGTTTTTTTTGTGACTGCTTTGGAGGACTGTGTCATAGAACCAGCACAAGGTATTGTTGATGAAGTCCATCCTGCCATTTATAAACCCTTCACCACTAAGGATTTCGTTGCCAAATTCCTTGAATGTGGTGCGGACACAGAGGCAACTTTTAGTCATTTCAGGGCATAAAACCATACGCCTCTCGTTTCAGATGGGATTTCTCTTTTAATAAGTAAAATGGAAGGGTAGTTAACTGGTGTAGTGTATTATGGCCTTGTTGGCTTGTGGTCTCGGGCTTATGTTTTTCTGCCATTAACTTTTTGTTTTGTTCGTTATTGCCTTTATGTTCTTTTTAAGTTTTAGATGTTTTGGGCTGTTTTTTTCCTTTAGTTTATTTGAGTTTTACTCAAATTAACCAAATGTGATTGGCCAATTTTTTTATGTAATCGTTTTGTTTTATTTAGGTTAAATAAAATTGTCTTTTCATCAAAAAAAAAAAATTGTCTACTGTGTATTTTAACCTACTGTGTGTGAATTAATTATGCAGTACTATGCTACTATTATCAATAGCCGGATTCACACATACATGTATGTGTGCTCACTTTTGCAAGCGTGTGCTCAATTATCAACGTTAATGACTTGGTCAAATAAGATGAAACTGTTACTTTCGTTTTTAAGGTCCATGCAATGTCCGTACGTTGTAAAATTTATAACATCGAATTATGGCAAAAATACACACACACACAAAACCTCTTATACAAGGGCTCAGTTTGGGTGCTCGTTATCTTATGAGTAATCTAGATAGTTTAGATCAAATGTGAATGGTCTAAATTACATATGAACGGTCCAAATTTAATATTTTGAATTAATTATTGTTAAATAAAAATGATGGAGTCTATTTATGTACAAAGTGAAATAGCTCATGCCAATTCATTTAATTTTCAACTGCTAAAACATTTTCGAGTTCCTGCGCTACTCACCCTCGATCAATGAAGAAGTATTGGAGAAACTTGCTTCAAACTGGTGCAATGTGGAAGCCGTACCTGGGGATAACATATTTCCACCAGAAACAAGACCAGGAAACGTGTGATGATGGGAAGGATACGGGCCAGGTGATCAATCATGGGATTCCGGCGTATCTAATGAATGAAACAATGAGTGGGCGGAAGGAGTTCTTCCAGTTGCCGGCGGAGGCCAAGCAAGACTTGTTCACGGAGGGTTTCAGTTGCAGGCTTTCTACAAGCACTCCAAATTATGTTGCAGAGAAGGTTCATAGGTGGCGTAGTATCCAAGCATGCTGATCCTTTCATCCTTTTATTACAAGATGACGTCTATGCTCACGAACTGGCTAGACGCCAATCCTCTCTTGGCATCGTGGCCACCCTTTCTGTGTTGCCTGCTGTAACAATGAAGCATGACGGCTTCGGAAATTGGCCTCATTTTGGTCCTAGAGACTAATTAAAAAAATTATTTTATAAAAATGAAAAGATTAAATCTGAACCGTCTCATCTGATGATTTAGATCTGATCGTTCCGTTCTGTTTGAATACAAAAATACGAACCAAAAACAAGAAAAGTCAACGGTCAGAGGCATTGTAACCAAAATGCATATGGAGGTGGAGCAGGGTCTTGCAATCGTCGCTCTTCGTTAACCTCTCTCTATCTTCTCTTTGCCATCGCTGGATGCTATCTATTCTTCTTTCTCAAATATCTGAGGCCCTCTTCCACTGCTTGTCTTCCAGCACGGCACAGATCCTCTTCTTTGCGGTAAGACAGGCCGTCGGTTATGGCTGGATAAGCAACCTTTCGCATTCACCAATAGAAATTGTCAACTCTGTTCGTAACTTACCCTTTGCCAGCTTCTTCTCTCGTTGTTGGTTATGAGATTTAAGATTTATTTCTAGATTGTTGATTTTTGGATTTCCCCGCCTCGATTTTGAGTTTTACGGGCTTGTGGCCGTAGCCTTCCACTTCGATTTATATCTGGCTTGGGGTTGTTCATTTATATATGAGATTAAACTGGATGATAATGGAGAAGGAAATGAAACTTGACGATCAAGGGGTAAACTGTTTTTAATCATACTCAAGAAGAGTGTTGCTATATGTGAAAAGACAACCTCATGTGAATCTTCCTCTTAAGTCCGCATTGCGTTTCATAAAAGGAGTCGTGTCCTTATTCTCTGTGGTTATGCTTCAGTACTAGACTTGTTGCGGTGTCTTGTATTAGGTATGAGTAATCTTTGTCCTAGCTTTCCTTGTTGTTCCTTTGTTTGTTTATCCAGTTAGCTGCTCTGTTATATGCGTAATTAGCTCATAATTTAGATCGAAGCTCTCGAAGCTCTTAATTTAATTAATGTGTTTTAAACCTTTTCAAATAAATATATCTTTTCCGAAGACTAAATAAGGTACACTGAAGATCTCGCCTTTTATCATTTATGTTGCTTTGTTTTGTCTTGCTAAAGAAGTATCTCTGTTTTATTTGAAGTGATGTTATGGGAAGCATATTTTAAGGCGATGGGCATAATTGTAACTTCATGGTAGTTGACTATTACTTTCCTCAGATGGTACGCGTTGATACTATCCTGTTCGCATTTATCCAAGAAAATGTTAGATTAATACTAAATTTCACATGTACTAGTATAAACCAGCTACTTGAAGTCTTGAACATATACAGAGGAATCAGATGGGCCATTAAGATCATGAGTTAATGATGCGCTCAATCTGGATACAAATCAATAGCTCATAGTAATCAATTCCCCGTTGATAAAACATTCTTGAATTGTTTTAATCTGTACCCTGTTGATCAGCAATGGAGAAACCTGCTTCAAACTGGTACGATGTGCAACGAGTGCCTGAGGATTACGTGTTTCCACCAGAAATAAGACCAGGGAGCGTCCATGTTCCTGTAAGTGAAAGCTTCCCAGTGATTGACCTCAGCGAAGCAGAGAAAGGTGATCGAACCCATACCGTGCAGAAAATTCTCAAAGCCGCTCAAGAGTTTGGATTCTTCCAGGTTCATGCCATAACTTCTTTTTTCCTTTTTGGGTTAGTTTTTGCCGGTTTGATGGGGCAAAAAAAAAAAAAGATTTTTCAAAGCTGGATCAATCATATAGTTGCATTAACGTGTGATGAATGAAAATATAGGTGATCAATCATGGGATACCGGACAATCTAATTAATGAAACAATGAGTGTGTTGGGGGAGTTCTTCCAGTTGCCGGCGGAGGCGAAGCAGAACTTGTCCTCACAGGATTGGCACAAGGATTTCAGGTTCACTTTGAACGGTGTAACTTATGCTGCCGAGAATGTTCATACATGGAGGGAATTTCTCAAACACCCATGTCATCCTTTAGAGAGGTGGCAGCATTTGTGGCCTCAAACCCCAGCGAGATATCAGTAATGGATGCTACCCTCTGAACCCAAAATGCTTATATGTCTGCTTTTACACGCACACTTCTCTTTGAGGCCAAAAAACAAACGCACACTTCTTTACTTATTGGGTTTAGTCTGATTTGTATCAGAGAGTGTATTGGGGCGTGTTCAATGGAAGTTAAGTTGAGTTCCAGGATCTTGAGGTTAATCAGTACAGTGAAGGGCTTGGACTGCATGGCGAATATCTTGAGGGTGAATATAGCCAAACTATGAAACTATCCGCTAATTTCTATCCAACATGTCCTCAGCCAGATTTGACTCTTGGAGCAACCAAGCACGCCGATCCTAACATCATAACCCTTTTACTCCAAGATGGCGTCTGTGGACTTCAAGTGTTGAAGGATGATACGTGGATTGGCGTCGATCCTAACCCCCATGCAACTGTGGTCAATATAGCCTCCCAGTTGCAGGCATATACATTCTTTAACTTCTTGCAGTCTAAAATTTTTCGTTCGTTCTAGATCAGCAGTATTCGGAAATAAGTAGAAATTATAGCAAATAATGGTTGATTTGATTTTGTGTTGAGATTGCAGGTGATCAGTAACAACGAGTTGAGAAGTTCGGAACACAGAGTTGTGACAAATTCAAGTAAAACTCGATTTTCGGCTGCATTTTTCATAGGAGCTTCGGAGGAGAGTGTTATAGAGCCAGCAAAAGCTCTGATTGATGAACTCCATCCTCCGATTTACAAGTCCTTCAAGAGTAAAGATTTTCTTTCTAAATTCTTTTCAAGTTACGGTGACTCACAGGCCACGCTAGAAAAGGGAAAGGAGCGTTCACCCGAAAAAGGGGGACAGGAACAAGCCAGTAATTGGACTTTTTTTGGGGCTGGAAACCAGTAATTGGACTTAGCATACACTTAAGAAAGAATGACTTAAATCAAGGTTCTTAATTAATGTTTTCCGAAAGAAAAAAACTAACTGGCTGGGTACTTCACTAAATATATTAATAAAGTACATTGAACACCTCAGTCTTATCTTTTTCTTCATTTGTTATGTTTTGTGTTGTCTTGCAGAAAAGCATCTCTTTTATTTTAAGTTTCATGTCATGTCATGGGAAAGTTACTTTAAGTTGAGAGGCTAATTGTCACCTTTTGGTTGTAAAATATTGCCTTCATTAGATAATATGCACCGATACTAAATTCACGTTGGTATATACTTTTCTGGTCATGTTTATATGAAAGAGAGAAGGTATATTTTAATCTTATTTATAAGGTACTGAGAAAAAATTTTATATAGATGTATGATTTTACTCTTCATTTATTATTATGTTAATTTTGTTTACATGAGGTATAATATATATTAAATAAAGTTAAATTTGAAAAGTTATTGAATTTTAAATAAGAATTAATAAAGTTTTAAAAAAAAATTCTGTGTGAAACATATTAGAAATGACTTATAAATAGGACCAGAGAGTATATACTCTCCATATTTCATACTACAATTAGCTCTAACAAAAACAAATTCTACAAAAATATAAGAAAATCATTTAATAACATCGGATTTTGCAAAATTACTTTACTACTTTTCTTAGATGTCCTTAGTCTTGTTTAAATAAATACTAGCATTACACCTAATTTAATGCATTCTTGAAATTTAAAATTGACAAGTATTATTATAAAACCTGAAAGACCGCATTTGTGTGACAGATACTATGAAGTAAACAAAATGCATCCACATGTAAACTTCGTATATGTTACAAAGCAACTTGAATATACATATACACCCACAACCGGAGGACCACTACGATCATGGGCTAATATATATAGGAATCCGATGGACCACTAAGATGATGGGCTCTATTTAAATACAAATCAATAGGTCACACTAATTCATCCCCAAGTGACAAAACATTCTTGAGTTTCTTTGTTTTGCAAAATTACTTTGCGTCTTTTCTTAGATGTCCTTACCCTTGTTTAAACAAATAGTTAAAAACTACTCCTAATTTAATGCATTCTTGAATTTAAAATCGACAAGTATTGTTATAAAACTTGAAAAACCGCATTTTTGTGACAGACAATATGAAATAAACAAAATATATCCAACATGTAAACTTCATAAATGTTACAGAGCAACTTGAATGTGCGTGTGTGAACCCGATGGACCACTAAGATATTGGGTTAATATATGTAGGAATCCGATGGACCATTAACATGATGGGCTCTATTTAAATACAAATCAATAGGTCACGCTAATTCATCCCCAAGTCGCAAAGCATCATTGAGTTTCTTTGTTTTGGACCCTGTTGATCAGATATGGAGAAACTTGTTTCAAACTGGTACAATGTGCGACCTGTGCCTGAGGATTACATATATCCACCAGAAAAAAGACCAGGCAACATCCATGTTCCTAAAGGTGAAGGCATACCAGTGATTGATCTCAGTGAAGCAGAGAAAGGTGATCGAACACTTGTAATTCAGAAAATTCTCAAGGCTGGTCAAGAGTTTGGATTCTTCCAGGTTCATCTCATTTTTTATTAATTTTCTTTTTCCTAATCAATCTTTGTCAGAAGTCTGAGGTTTGCAATGAAATCAGGTGGCGAATCATGGGGTTTCGGAGAATTTAATGGATGAAACAATAAGTGTGGTGAGGGAGTTCTTCCAAATGCCAGATGAAGCCAGGCAACATTTGTGCACTAAAGACTTTAGCAAGGAGTGTATTTATTTCACAAGCTGTGAAAATTATGCTAATGAAAAGGTTCATATGTGGCGAGACTTTCTGCAACACCAGTGTCATCCCTTGGACAAGTGGCAGCATTTTTGGCCTGAAAGCCCAGCCAGATACCGGTAAGAAAATGATGCACCATCTTCAATAATAAAACTGCTCTCTACTCACAAGTTTTATGTAATTTTGTTTGACATGACAGGGAGATTGTTGGGGCATGTTCAGTGGGAATTAAGGAATTGGCTTCAAGGATTCTGGGGTTGATCAGTGAAGGACTTGGCCTGAAATGTGAACATTTTGACAATGAACTAAGCGCATGTATGGTTCTGACAGCTCTGCAGTATCCACCATGCCCTGATCCAAGCTTGACTCTTGGAACGTGCCCGCATGATGACGCCAATCTCATTACTTTTCTACTTCAAGATGAAGTTTCCGGACTTCAAATCTTCAAAGATGATCAATGGATTAGCGTTGAGCCTATTCCACATGCTTTTGTCGTCAACGTCGGCTGCCTCTTGCAGGTACACACTTTCCACTCGAAACTGTCTTATAATTCTGAGTTTAGTGGTTCATCTTCAGCTAATTAATTGACATTTCTTTCATATAGATAAGTTATGATTAATGGGCTAAGTTGAAGTGCAGGTGATAAGTAATGACAAGTTAAGAAGTGTGAAACACAGAGTGGTGACAAATGCTATCAGATTTCGAGCGTCAGCTGCCTTTTTTGTGACGGCTTTGGAGGATAGTGTGATAGAACCAGCAAAAGGTGTTGTTGATGAACTCCATCCTGCCATCTACAGACCCTTCACACCGAAGGATTTCTACATGAAATTCTTCGAAAACGATGCTGACACTGAAGCAACTTTCAATCATTTCAAGGCTTGACGCCATGAGTCAAATAATAAATAATGAGAATCTCACGGAAATGGAAATTGTTGTTCTGCGAAACTTGGCATAGTCTTCGTTCTTCTGTATCTCAGGCAGTTTATGAAGTTTGTTTGCGGCTTTGTTTGCTTGTATATGTTTAAATACTATGTTGTCTTCAGTTGGTTCAGCTAGTACTTGGAAGATAAGTGGCTGTGTTATGACGCTTTGAACTTTCTCTTTTGTTTGATTCAGATACCACCACTGTGGTCTCTGCATGTACATATGTGAAAATCTTCATTACCAAGATTAAGGGAAATCTTCTTTACCAACAGTTGAAACCTTCGGCATGGTTTGGGAGAAATGGAGGGAGAAGAATGCCTTCCCCTCTCCTCTGAAATTGGAATTTTTGGAGGAGAATATTTTGCTGTAGTTTAATTAAAATACCCATTCTTTATGTACCAAGATCGAAACCGGAGGAACCCAGCATAGAAGATCAGGTTTGGTCCTGTGATCCTGTCTAAAGTTATTTAATAAATATGATATATGAAGAAAAACAATCTCAGAAAATCAATTAATAATGTTAACAAAAAAATTAAAATAAGGTATATGTAAACTTGCCCCGTCCAAGTAAGAGGCATTGGAAGGTGGCGATTTGAGGTGGAGGAGGAGATTAAAGGCTGCCTCAATCTGATTCGCGTTTCATTTGGAAGGTGGCGAGAGGCATGATCATGGGTGGTGTTTGGTGATGTCTTGATTTTGTCGTAACTGAGCTCTGTATCATCTCCGGGGGATTTCGAGAAAGTTGCCTGATGGGCCTCATCGGATTAGTGATAAGTGATAACGAAATCAAATCAGTCGTTGGTTTGGCAACATTTGTTTAGGGACCACCAAATTTATGTCCTGTGCTTTTAGAGTTAACTTGGTCTTTAGGGACATGACCAATCTGAGAGGTTGAGTTGTCTCGATTCAACCATCTATCGTATTAGGAAATGATATACTACTCCGTTCTTATTTATAAGAGCTAGTTAATTAATTTGAGGAGATTAAGAAAAGAAGTTAAGTTTGTTATTTGTAATAAATAAGTATTGTCTTTCTTAAAATATCCTTACTAATCAGGTGTATTGGCTAAAACTATTATTGTTAGAAGGACTATCTTGAAAAAAAATACATAAATATGAGAGACAAAATGGATTAAGATTTTATATTTATGACCAAAACAAAAATCAGACAAAGTCTTATATTAAGAACGGGGCAGTATAATGTTTACTAATTAATAGAAATCAAAAAGTTGAAGTAAATGTAATATAATCCCTTTAGAAAAAAAAAAAAAAAAGAAAGAAAAACAAGTTGTTCATGTTTCAGTTGCCAGAACGTTTCTTGTGATGAATACGAATCAAGAGTTCGTGCCAAAACAGGGGGGACACAAATCCTCGTCCGATCCTTAATATGATGCATACCAATGGGGGAGCACAGCAATCTAGAGAGTTCCTGCCAAAACAGAGGTCAGACCCAGAAGGGATTCATCTGGTTATTTCTGTTAAAGAAGGAGGATCCCTCATCGTTCCACCCCTGTTTTTCTCATTCTGGAGCAGGTAGCATTGTTAAGCTCTCATCCACCACATCACTGTGCACATAGTGACGTTTGAAAAATCAATATTATTTGTCTTTTCCTCAACCCAAATCCTTGCTTTTTGTCTTCTAGTTTCAGTCTTATATTTCTTTTAAAAAAAACAGTAGCTAGCTTTCACGATCCGCCATCAGGATAAGGGGTAAAAATATTATGTTGATGTGTTGCGTGACGGTGGCAGCAATTAAAGTTCAATGTTTCGCCTTAAAAAAAATACTCCTCATCACGTGCTAAATGGGAATCACTATCTTTATTGTTGCAATCCCAGCTTTTTATTTTACCTTCATTAATTAGTGAACTCATCCGGCCAACCTGGGACCCTCTTGATCCTCAAGTTAGATGACACAGGGAAATATGGATCTAGTTATTGATGTAGTATTTCTTAAATTCCATGCGGCTTTAAGACCCTGACCTCACCTGCACTAACAAAGACATTATTTATGAACAAAACTTCCAAACAAAATGGTTGAGGTGACCTTGAATGCGCCATTTAGCCATCGCTACTTTGTGATTGGGATCCACATTCGTTGAACGCTGGGAACAATCTACATCATGCTTCCTCCTGGACTTTGATAACTACCCGTCCATTGAATCTATAACGGAAACAGAGTTTCGAGGCCAATTATGAATTGGCTGTTCAATATAAATGCCAGGGTCAAGCTGGTTTCGATAAGCGCGCCAAACACGATGGAACAGTTGCAGAACAAAACCGGCAAGGAAGACGAAGCAAAAGAAAGCAAGTACAGAGGAGTACGAAGGCGGCCGTGGGGGAAGTTCGCGGCAGAGATTCGAGATTCGAACAGGCACGGAGCTCGATTGTGGCTGGGCACTTTCAACACGGCAGAAGAAGCGGCGAGAGCCTATGATCGTGCTGCTTTCGGCATGAGAGGGCCTTCGGCCATTCTCAACTTCCCAGAAGAATATGGTTTGAGCGGTGCGGGGAGTGCCTGTTCCAGTAGTAGCCACCTGCATCGCTCTTCATCGTCGTCTGCTTCGTCGTCGTCTTCAATGGCGGACGCTCAGGGTGGAAGACAGGTGTTCGAATTCGAGTGTTTGGATGATAAATTGCTAGAGGACCTTCTTGATTATTCGACCAAGAACGAAGAGTAAAGGCCGGCCTACTTCCTGTCAGGATCTGTCCGTTACTTCGTTTTCGTTCTCACTTTTAGAGACCGGGCCCTACAGCGGGACACTTTCTATATCTTTTGTTTTTGGAATAAGTTTTTTTGTTTTTTTGGACTGAAGTTTTTGGAATAAGTTTTTTTTTTTTAAGTTTAAATAGTGATGGATGTAGAAGACTAGGTCAATGATACATTTGTACAGTTTAAACTAATTGACCTTCTTAGTTTTGATCTTTTATTTTCAATTACTTTATAAATGATGTCCTTTTCTTTCAGCATCAAATAACTGTGTAATTTATGGTTGTATTTTTATTTTTATCACCTCCTAATTTCATGGGGAAAGAAAATATGTAGAAGATAATTATAAAATCAACATAACGTTATTTTAATTAAATAAAATTAAATGAGATCAAAGTAAAATGGTCTAAATTTTTATTGAATTATAAAGATTAATATTTTAACTAAAGAGAAACTTGAAAAATCAAAATTTATTATTTAAAACTTGAAGAACCAAAACTAAAAATACAGACAAAATAGGAAGATAAAAAATTATGCTAACCCTGAATTATTATTAAAAGTGGAAAAAGTGCTATTTTATAATTAAATTTAGGCCCACTGGACTTTTGAGGCCCAAATCTTTTCTTACTACTGGGCGAATCAATTTTTCCTTACAGTGTATGTTGGGTTGAGTAATGTAGTTGTGCCGAAGAAAAATAGTTAATCTGAATGTGGCCCAAAAAGATCTCTTTAAGCTGTAGACTGACATTTAAATCCATTTTTGTATTTTTTTTTTTGGTTTTGTTGAAATATATAATCTCTAGTTTAATTAAAATATTCTTGGCTATATATTTTTATTAAATTTAATGAAAATGATCTATTCTCTTTCGTCTTTTATTTGTGAAAAATATATATTTCAGAGACAAATACCAGTTTTGTATAAGTTTAATAAAGTTGAACGAATAATGATATAATTTAATGTGAAAAATATATGTAAACAGAATAATAGTGTCTTCTGAATTTTGTTTAAAAAGAATAAAAGCGTTTTTCACTTTTGTTTATTCCAACTCGTGCTAATGATTATTGACGCTATTTGTTTCAAATAGTAGCCAAGCTGAAATGTACTTTTCGGCACACCTCATAGGGATGAAACTCCAAAGTTCAAATGATAGGGTCAACGTGAGAATTCAGAATTTCACTACTTCTTTCAACTAAATACTTACGTGCGCTTGTAAGGATATACTCCTCCGGTCATAATTATAAGACCCAATTGACTTGTTTGAGGAGATTAAGGAAGTAAGTTAAGTTGGTTATTTATAATAAATAAGTGTTATCATTCCTAAAATATCCTTGCTAATTAAGTATATTGGCTAAAACTATCATTATTAGAAGGATTATCGTGGAAAAAAATACATAAATATAAGAGAGAAAATGGATTGGGTCTTATAATTAGGACCAAATAAAAAGTCAAATTGGGTCTTATAATAAGGACCGAAGAAGTACCATATTAATTGACTGACCCAGTCTTGTTTTGTTGTTGTTTACAAAAGAAGTGGTTACAGGGCAGGAAATCAAATGTTATTTGATAGAGCTGAGAAAGTATGAGTATGTTGTGAGTCAAACATAAATTAATGTTAGCGGTCATGATGTGGCGCCCCTCACTGGTAATGATGTAGGGTTTGACCAGTGGTACGAGGAATCAGTGGCCAAGCATTATTGTCCAACAGCCTGGCAAATTTTGTGGGTAAAATAACAATATAGCATGCACCATGCGTAAACTTTTCCAGTTGAATTCAGTGTTCTAATACTATCTCCGTTTCTTAATATAAGAATTAGTTGATTACATTGAGTAAATTAAAAAAGTTTGTTAAATGAGTTATTTGTAACAAATATGAGTTGAATTCTCTAAAATATCCTTATTAATCATGTATATTAGCTATAACTACTAATTGATAAAATATTTAACATGTATAACAGCTGCAAAAATTACTTTGAAAAAATGAATAAATATGAGAGACAAAATAGATTCAGGTTTTATATTTAAGATCAAATTAAAAATCAAACTAGCTCTTATATTAAAAACCGAGGTAGTATTATTTATGATACATCTAGTACCTTAATGTTATTTCTTTTAATATACTTTTAACATCCTGTTATTATTTATAGTGTATCTAGCATCTTAAACCATAAATAAAAATAAAATTATAATACTGAATATAACGAGACAACAATGTCGGGAGGTCTTAGATGTATTAAAAAAAATTAATGATACTACCTCCAGTCGTTAATATAAGACCTTGTTTGACTTTTATTTTGGTTCTAAGTATAAGACCCCAATCCACTTTGTCTCTCATATTTATATTTTTTTTCCTAAAGTAGTCATTCTAACAATAGTAATTCTAGCTAATACACTTGATTAACAAAGATGTTTTAGAAAAGACAACATCTATTTAAGACAAATAACTAACTCAACTTATTTTCTTAATCTCCTCGAATTAATCAACTAGCTCTTATAATTAGGACCGGAGGTAGTATTAAGTTATTGAATATCGGAGCCAGTTTCCATGCTCATCACTTTGATAAGCACCATAAACTCATCAGATCTAGATGATCCATATCTCATTTGGATGATTCGGATATGTTTTTTTATTTGTTCAAAAAATTATTTTAATATGTATATAATTTAAAATAGAGACAATATCTTAACTGTCATTCTTTCAAAAAAAATTTTATTTAAAAATAATTAATTAAAGATTTTAAATCTGAACTGTTCAAATCAGATATAAATGGTCCAGATTTGATGAGTTTAAGGTGCTCATCAAGATGATGAGCGTTGAAACTGGCTCCTTGAATGTACCATAAATAAAATTAGAATAGTAGATGCTGCTGAAAAATTAGTATGAAGTTGTTGGTATTATTCTCATTTTCTGTCTTTTAATTGAACTACTGCATAGTACTGCAACTGCATTGTGTGGTTTTTATTTATTGCATTCAAATTAAAGTTCAACCAAATAAGCTTACTAAAATACAAAATGCCAATGTTTTGTAGGCATTAAAAATTTAACAATTTCTTCTTGTTAATAAAATTTTTAATCAAAGAATTTTTCCCAATTTTGCTCGTGACAAAATCGATTCAAAATCTCCATTCAAATCAAAACACCATTCGGGCGGTGATGTATATATGATGTTGATGGACGCCGCCGTGGGACCGTACAATCCGTTGAATTAGCCGGCGGCGATGAGTATCCAAAAGAATGGCTTTAGCCAAATAATAAATTAATTAATTAATCAGTCAAACATTAGGCGTCTAATTCCCACAACACATTTACCAATCACAGTGTAATTTGCCAAAATGGCAGTATAACTTAACTGATCACTCCCACGCGTCTTTCAAATTCAAAGTCATGGGAATTTTTTTTTTCCCAATTGCACTCTTTAAAAGGGTTAACAAATACAAAGTTAAACTCGACGCAATTCATCTAATTAAACACTTGAAAATTCTGCTTCTCTTTGTTATTGATTTAGTCTTTTGTACTATTTATATACTAAATCTTATCGCTTATCAAAACAAGTCTCAATACTTGTTTGAATCCACTTATTTTGAGTAGTTTGTGTTACATAATTTAAATATGTAAGAAGAATTTTATCTCGTAAATATAAAAATAACTTTTTTCTCTACGCCAGTGCTTCATATTGAAAATTTCCAGGAATTTGAGCATTTTCCCCTGTATATGCCAACATGTAATCAGCACAAGTATACAATTCTTAATACTTGTTAACTGGGAGTTGCTAATTAAAAATGCTAATACCTCTTAACATTAATAGAGGATATACTTTGTAATGAAATTTTACACTAGCTACAAAGTATATCTTATACTACTTCTAATTCTTAATATAAGACACAGTTGACTTATTTATAGAGATTAAGAGAATTAATAAATTACCTTAAAGTATTTATGTTTACCGTTTTTCTCCAACCTAATTTACCAATCTCATAAATTAATATATAACATAATAATATACGTAAGTATTATAGAGAGAGTGTGCAATATATGTCATCATTAAGCAATTTAGTAACTTCTTAATTTCTCTAAATTAATTAATTGAATCTTATGTTAAGAATCAGAGGTAGTATTTTTCAGATGAGTAACGGATGGAGGATGTCACCGCAAAATAATTCTAACTAAAAAACATTCTTCCTGTCAACATCAAAAACGTAGCCACTAACTTTCATAAGTAGTTTGACACTGGCACAGCAAATTAAAGTGGGATAAGAAGGAGAGGGTGGAATAAATTGAAGTGATACATTATAAAATAAGAGTTAAATAATGTTAGTTGGAGGAGGCGAGGGGAGTTGTGAAAGTTACGATAATTATCCAATTGATTTTAATTAAGAAATAATTTTAGCATTTTATCCATGCAGGAAGTTAATTATTTATATAATCATATGGTAATGACATAAGCTCTTGATATATACAAGATCTTTGATAGGGACTTCCCACTGCAAAAGCAATGTTCTATACGTGTTATCGCAGTTAAAGATTTGTTATCAAACGACTTAACATTATATTTTTATTTTGTCTTCTAATGTGTATATATGAAAAAATGAACTTATTAATTTTCAAGATAGTTTTGAATCTAACGCCATATGTAAAGAGCAATACCTGAATTCTTTTTTTTATCAGTTATTGCAATTTTTATTTTGCCCAAAAATAGTTTTTTCTAAAATGATAACAGAAAAGAAAGGATAAGTGGATAAATAACTTAATCTATGAAAATAACTTAGCCATACATTAGGGTAACGACTAATAAGAGAAAACAGATGATCCAGATTTTAATAATTAAAAATATTTTTAATTTTAAACTGAGGATGAGGAACCTCCCATGTCATATATTCCGTCTGGATAAAAAACAAAGGCTATATTATTACTATTAGCAAAATGAAAAATAAAAAACACTTACACACATAATAATATATATTTTTTGTTAAAAGTTGGTAACGAGTTTCGTAGTAGTGATGAGGGATCTTCTGGCTGTTTCTCAAACTTTTTTTTATTTCTTATTAAATTGTTTTTTTTCCCCTTATCATATAGGAAGTAGTATTAGAGTTTTAAAAAAAAAAAGTCATTATCCTTGTTGACTAACCTCATGAAATCTGTTGTGCGCGTCGAAGATTGTAAGTTTGATTCCGTTATAACTTCAGGTTGCTAGTATTTACCCCTTTGATTTAAAATTTTTTTTTAAAATACATAATATATTCTCTCAAATTTCAAAGCTAGTAACTAGATACATCTGGCCCAAAAAAATTAGATAATTAATTTATTTAAATTAAAAAAATTAGTTAAATTAATTATCTATAAAAGTATATGTTGATTTTGCTAATTAAAAACTATCTTTATTGATTGCATTCATTAGTGTGCAACTGTACAAAAAATAATAAACATAAAAGATAAAATAAATTGAAAATTTTACCTTCAATTTGAGAAAGTATTTGGGCCAATAATGTTTGATTGAGTAATTGTATAATATGTGTTGGCCCAAACACGAAAGCACAAATTAAAAGAACTTGATTTGAAATATTTATATGCGCACGCACTCCTTCGGTTTGATTCATAAATTTTAAATTTAAAAAGGGATGTGATTCATCTTATAAACATTAATTTAAGTTTATCTCGATATTTATTTTTTTAATTTTATTCTTAATTATTTATTCTCTCTCATTTATTATGCTCTTATTTTTTCTTATTACATTTCTCTGTGCATTTTTTTTCTTATAAACATATTTAAAAACAAAAGTATTGTTCTTACCTATTTATTATTTTTTTTACTAATTTTAAATAATTTTTTGTTATATACAAATCAGTTATTTCAATTTTGACGCTTAAGAATTGAAGAGTATATTGTTAAATTATAGATATGCTATAATGAAGATCAAGTTGACCTACTCTGGGCCGACAATTCTTTGACCGAGATTACAAACTCAACTCTTGAAATTGAAAAATAATATTTTCGGGGATCTACTCGCCTACCCCATTTGACTGCTATTTAGACCAATAATCAATACTGGGCTTAAATATGATTAATGGATAGCCATTATGACATTTGTTTTGGTTCGTACTCTTGAGTCATAACAAAAGAATTTGCTAAAATTGCGCCTTTCATAATAAGCTATATTATGGTCATTTGGTCTTATTTATAAATTACTTTTAATATGGTCACACAGATCAACAGAAATTTTAAATTTCATTAACTATCATTTAAAATTCAATAGCTTTTTAATTTTATCACTATTTAATATACATTATATCTTATATAAACAAAGTCAACATAATAATAAATGAAGGATAAAATTATATATCCATACAAAAAAATTCTCTCGATACCTTATAAATAGGACTAAAAAATATCTTATCTCTCTATTCTATAAATAGGATCAGAGGAGTACTTTTTTTTTTTGGCCAACAATAAGCTGTATTATACTACAGCTACGAGAACTTGAGAAATGTTACCCCTCCTATTCTAAATACTAATGTCAATCAAATAGTAATTCTTATAATTAAAAAAATTAATTACTTGTATTTAATATGTAGAGAATTTTGTGACACTTCTTTAAAAATACCCCTGCTATTCACTGATTAAAATTTTATGAGCAAAAAAAAAAAATTCCAATAAATAGGAGCAGGTGTTACGGGAAAGAAAAATATACTATGGAAAACAGGAGAGCACGAAACTTTATACCACCTCCGATTCTTTATATAAAAATTAGTTAATTAATTTGAGTAGATACCCTCACTAATCATGTATATTAACTAGAAATACTATTTGATGAAATATTTAACACATGTAATTATTACAAGGATTACTTTGAAAAAAAATAAATATTAGAGACGAAGTGGATTGGAATCTTATATTTAAGGTCAAATTAAAAGTCAAGCTATCTCTAATATTAAAAATTGGAGGTAGTATCATTTAGAATGAAACTAAAACACTGAGATAGACCTTATCTTGACATCAAAAGGGAGTGTTGTAATGCCAGCATTTTCAGCTTATTTTTAATTTTGTTAATTTTTGTACTGTTTATTAACAAATAAGAATTTCGCCTTTTTATGACAACTTTTTGTGAATTATATATAGTTTATATTGAAAAAAAATGCTGTTTTAGATTGGTTAAGTCATTTAGACTCCAACACAGAAGAGTTGAGATCCCCATTTAATCTAAGGTAAGTCATACTACTAATACTTTATATATTGATCGATTTTTATGATTAATGACGATAGAAACAAAATAAACCATTAAACGAAGGGCTACAAGGCTGAATGGCTTGAAACATCTGACATGAGCTATATTTTCGTCTTCATTGCTGCCCTCATTTTAAAATTGTTGTTAGTTCAGGCTATTCACGTACATTAAAATTTATTATTAATATAAAATATTGTTATATTTTAATTAATATACCTAATTTAAGAGATAGAGAGTAAAATAAGATAACGATCTTGTCTTGATTTGCATAGCGAAAAAATTCTAAAGAAATGAAAAAGAGAGAGAGAGAGAGATAAGACGAGACAAATTTCCTCCTACATATTTACCTTTGATTCTATAAAATCACTTTTATTACCTTTGACTCTATAAAATCACTTTTTTTAAAAAAATCCAAACAGCTTAAGAGTTTCCAAACACCCCAAATCAATTTACATGTTGACAGCTGAATGTAAAAAAATTAAAAAAAAAGAGACACAAATGTCACTTATTTGAAAAAGACATCAATAGCCTTAAATTATAAAAAGATACAATGTTAATAATATTATGCCGGTTTGTAAGAGAAATGTCATTTCCTCAGCTATAATTTGATGAAAGACACGCCTTCCCATGTTTGACGGAAGTCAGCTTTCAATGAAAAAATTAATCAAAAGAGTTTCTTTTTCTTTGAACTAATATCCTTTCCACAAAGAGATGATAAAAGAGAAATATAATTAAGGGTACATCTTGACCCAAAAAAAATGATCAGGCCTTGAATCCCTAAAAACGACGAAAATTTGAAAAAAGGAAAAAGTCTAAAACACTAATTAATGGAGAGAATAAAATAGAACAAGGCATGGTATTATATAATACTCCCCATTCCCCAAAACCCAACGCTGTATCAAGAACCACCACTATTGGTTGACATAAAAAATTGTGGTGGGCGCTGACACAAGCCCAGCATCAGCGATCTAGCCTTATATAAGCAATGATGAGATGAATGGCATATCATATTAACTCATCCCACACAAAACATAAATCCAAACATGACTGCAACAGTGTCTTCGCCGTCAACGCGGCACCCCTGCCCAGATTGGAAGTGCTGGCAGGAGCCCCCTGATGATCTTTTGATTTCTCTGTCAAGCGACCAACTTCATCACGAAGACCCCTTCCATGATTATCTCTGCTTCGATATGGTTGATAGGGAGGCGAATCAAGCGCCGGTGAGTTCAGAAGCCGTCGAAACAAAGAAGACTGTTAAGGGAAGATCATACATCGGGGTGAGGAAGAGACCTTGGGGGAAATTTGCGGCAGAGATCAGAGACACCACCAGGAATGGGATCCGAGTTTGGCTGGGAACGTTCGAGACAGCCGAGGAGGCTGCTTTAGCATATGACCAAGCTGCATTCACCATGAGAGGCAACAACGCTGTTCTTAATTTTCCGGTGGAAAAGGTGAAGGAGTCTCTGCAACACATCAAGTATGGCTGCCGCAAAGGGCATTCGCCTGCTTTGGCCCTCAAAGAGAGGCACTACATCCAAAGAAAACAGTCGTCAAAGGCTAGGAAAGGCAAAGCCAAACAGCAATCAGAGGTGGTGGTGCTGGAGGACTTGGGTGTAGAATATCTGGAGCAACTTCTCAGCATATCTGATCAAACTACAAGCTAGATATATACTCGAATAATCAAACGTGTTTCACAACTGTATTGTTATCGTTTCTATCTAAATAACCAAATGTGTCTTTCTACTAAATTTGGAGGGACCCTTCCTTCTATTATCATCCTTCTTCATCATTATGTGCCCACGATCTTAAGTCCCCATTTAGGGGCTGACATCTATGTAATTATAATGACTCTCACCAGGCACTTCCATTCTATTTGGTGGTGTTCGTTAAGAAATTTGCCATTTGATACACTAAGAAAGGAGTATAAATTATAATAATTACACCTTCTGCTGAAGGAATGCTACACCTTTCACAGGGCATTAACTCGATCACTTCTTTGTTCCCTGCTAACCCTCGCGGCGTCTGCCTTTGGAAGTTCTATAAAAACCTTTCGTCACATGTGGCGTCATCTTATTGTTGATATCTATTTCTAAAGTAGCTCCATAATCCCTCACTAGTTTTATCCCAAAGAGAAATTTTCACAAGAATCCCAAGACAGGCCATACAAGACGAATTAATCAGCAAGGTTACAACTTATACTATTTAATTTTCGAATCATACAACTACCGAAAACATTTTGAAGAGTGCCACCTAAAGCAGAAATTAAATATTCATGAATCCCAGGGAACAGAATCTACAGGATAATTTCGCAAGAAGTACATAATTAACTTGCATTGACGATTGGAACCGTTCCATACATGACGAAGGTTAAGGATACTTGTATACTGTCTGATGAGTTTGGACTACTAAAGAGTTTGTTAACGTGAAAATCTAGCAGGGCTAAGAGAAAGAAGAGAAAACTGACAATGAAAAGAGGTAAGTCTCATTCATAATTTCCACTCTTTATGCTGCCCACCCCACCCCCCCCCCCCCAAAAAAAAAAAAATCAAGAACTACAAAAGATGTACACTTCATTTGATGCTGTGGAAGAAAGATTTATATATACTTAACCAGAATAGCAGTCACCAGGTATACCGTAGACTTTTGTGATAATGAACTCAAGGCATTTGACCGTTATGGTAAAAAGAATGTAATTTGAAGACAGGGAGATACTACCTCTCGTCCTTAATATAAGACCCTATTTGATTTTTATTTTGATCCTAAATATAAGATCCCAATCCACTTTTTCTCTCATATTTATATTTTTTTTTTTCTCAAAGTAACCCTTCTAACAATGATAGTTCTAGTCAATACACTTGATTAGTAAGAATATTTTAGGAAAGACAACACCTATTTAGGACAAATAACTAACTCAACTTACTTTCTTAATCTTCTCAAATTAGTCAACTGGCTCTTATAATTAGGACCAGAGGTAGTATTGTATACACTAAAAGTTGCGATTTAATCTCATCAGAAAAAATGAACTATGGTTTATCATCAGGTATTACAGGCCACAGCAGCATGAGCAGAGAAAAATTCACTAGACAAAGCTACTATAGAGAGCAGTATTAGTAGTTCCGTTTCTCAAACTATAAGTTCTTTATTTCAAACTCCACATGAAGAACAAGACTGGTAGACTAGTTAGCTGAAAAAAGCAAGTTATATTGCAATTATAAGATTCTCACTGTATTCTCACAAGATCGGTCATTGTAAACTTGACAATTAATTCTAGTATGACGAAACATCTCTCCAACTGCATGTTTCCTAGATGCAATACAACATCATGTTCAATAAAATCAGATCCTATCTCACACATAATTCTTTTAGAAAAATAACAAAAAGATCAACAGTATACAATGTTACCAACAATGTCATACCTTGTTTAGTTCCACACCTTACATTTCACTTCATTGCATTTATGATCATCAGAGAAAATTCGAATTCTGCAGGCGTCAAAAACAAGAAATTAACCTTAAATATGGAGGAAAGTAGAAAAAATAATAAGATCAATAATATACAATTTACCAACAATGCCATACCTTGTTTAATTTCACATTTTAATATCTCACTTCGTTGCATTTATGATCATCGGAGTAACTATGAATTCTGCAGCCACCAATAACCAGAAATTATCTGAAATGTGCAAGAAGGTAGTTTAGATAAAGGCTCGCAAATTCGATTATTCATTAAAAAAAGAAAACAAAGATAAGGTCAAGTAAAGCACCATCGAGTTCATTGAATTAATCAAGTTTAAAAATATAGGAAACCCTCAATAAAATGCTTTTAACAGAAAATATTTTCATGACAGGACTAACAAACTTTTCTTTACCGTATGACGTTCATAGAAAAGATAACACATATTGGTTTTAACCATAGTCCATAGAATAAAACAAGGAATTGATCTGCATGCACTCATAGTTTCATATTAAGCAGATTAAGCGATGCAGCAAACTGTAGCTCATGCTGTGTTCACGATTCTCAGGAAAAACTCCTGGCACAGATATGGCAAAAATGTCACATTGAAATCTGCCAAGTACTCACATTGGCGAGTAGTGTTTCTTCTCAAGGGACAATCCCTACACCAGACTCGTGGGAAAACAATAAAAGAACACAAAAGCCCTATGTGTACTACCCTTAGTAAAAGAGTTGGAGGATATATATTGTTTGTTACGTGATCTGGTAACTGTTTGAGACAACAGAATTTTCTGCTCATATTAACACTCAAATCATTCATTATTGTAAATTACAATTAAGCAGATTTTTTAGTATAAATCACAAAGATAAAAATGAAAATTCAAGTTAAATTTATTTGGCATGGTAAGTGAATTGAATTATCCCGGAAATGATGCATTGTATTTGACTATTAAAGACGAATAAAAAGGATTAAAGATTGTTGCTATATACGTGAAAGGTGGAAATAATCATATCTGGAGATATTTTAAGTCAGTTATAGAATTCTAGACATGCAAACCTAACAGTAACATCTAACCCATATCTACATCCAAGAATCTTAGCTAGATGCTTAGACAAAGACACGGTACACAGATCCCATTTTTCATCTATGCGTATGTGTGTGTATAGAAAATCAACAGAGACCCAATCTTTTCGGTATCTAAACTATAAACAGCAATACAATTTCGAAAATTAAAAAAATGAAATCAGAATATAAAATAAATATAAAATAAAACTTATAAAGTATATAACTCGGGTAATTAGCATTCAAATGATAGTAGATTGGAAACAATACACGAGTCAGAAGTCTAAAAAATGTAAAATTAAAAGGAACGATTAATCAACCAAAGAAGTTCAGGCCAAAAAAAAAAACCAAAGAAGTTCAAACAAAAGTTGAGAAGTAAGAAGACACACACACACACACACAGAGTAGTGCCAACGTTACGTTGTTCATATTAATACATACGAGTTGAGCGAGAACCCGCCGGGTGAAAAAAAGGAAATGATTGCCGTCCTGGAGATGATGGAAAGGTAAGTTTTGATCAAATAACGACTATATATCTTTTTGGTGGGCAAAATAGCGACTAAATATCTGAGTGATATAAATCGTTGTATTTTATCTAGCGCCATTAAATTAAGAAACAAACTCAAAACCAACAATTAGACTTATACAGCTGATAAGGATTAATTCCCATCGGAATATCTGCAAGGGACCAACCAGCAACAATGGAACCGTTCCATCATGAAGTAATTTTCGATCCAAAATAATGGTAACGGTAATCAAACATAAGAAAGAGAAAGGGATTACATATTTACCTCCATAAGTAAATTCATGGCATCCTCACGTTGCCTATTATCTGCCCCGGAAATAACTTTTCTTGAAAGCAGACTAGCAAAAATCAGGAACCGGAAAACTTCGAAACAGAACGTAATTAGCAAAACCTGGGTTTAGCGTCGACGGAAAAGCACGAAGCCGTGCGGCAAAGAAAGAGGGGTTTTCGTGGGAGCGGCGGGGAAGCAAGAGGGAGGAGCTGGTTTTCCAGGAAAGGCGGGCATCACATTGTCTGAACTTGAGGGAACAAAGTAACGAAAAAGTCTTTAATGCACCACAGTGGTCAGTGGGAGTGAGTGTTCGCTTAATTTAATGCTACTCCTCTTGTCCTATTTATTAGTATAAAGTATTTTTAATATATTTTATATAGATCAAAAAAAATTTTAAATAATATTAATTCTCCATTAAAATATAACAACTTTTCAGCTTTACCCATGTTTAATATATATATTTTTAGAAAAAATAACTATCTATATTTTAATAAATAAAGGACAATATAGTATATTTATGGTAAAAATTTAATAAAGTGACAAAAAAATTTTTCTCTCTTTTCTATAAATAGAACCATAGGAGTATTTCTTTTGGCCTTTAATTTTAATTTTGTTTTAAACTAATTGTGTGTTAAACTTCAGTGAAGCATTGATGTTGATTAATTTTTAAATAATTTTGCTTTTTGGCCAAAAATCATATTATTTTTATTAATAAATATAATAGGAAGAGAGGCCTAGATACATATCATTGAATTTTGCATTACAATTTTTGTCAAAATATTAAAATCTTGTTGAATCTAAATTATATAATAATTTTTAATGTGCATAATTTAAATTAAAGGTCACTTTTTAAACTCAGCGTTTAGAGGCGCTAGCAATACGGCCCTCCCAAGTCCTACCTTGGCTTTATGCCTATTTCTAGTCACACTGACATCAATGTGAAATAATGGGAGTGAGAAGTTTGGCAATCCTTTATAGTCACTTAAAAAAAGTGTTTATATATAGGTTGATGAGACAAAATTTTTTTCATATGAGGCTAATTCAAATACCTCTTAAAGTTTAATATTTTTTATTCAAGTTTGTCAAAGTTTAGTTTCGTAAAGACATTTTTTTGGATAAACATGATATTTCAAGCAATATAATTTATGATATGATGGAAAATGCCTTTTCTAAAAGCATATGTAATTTACCATACATGTCAATAAGTAACGTGTAGAAATACAACTGAATAATCTGTGTAAAATCTGTCAAAATTGTCCTAGGATTACCAATCACTGACATATTGCAGATACCGAATTGTAACTGGCTAGAAAAGGAAGGCACTGACAGTGTTAACAGATAAGACAAGGGAGGAGCATTGAAGACACACCATGCATGAATGAGAATTCTGTTCTTGATGTTTGACAACTAATTATCCTAACTTGCAGTGGCACAACCAACAAATATTTTACTATG